ACACTACAATAACTGATTGATAACGGAATTAGTAATTGAAAATTCGCTGGAATACAGAAATAGCAATATAGAATCATGAAATACCTGCAGCAAATGAAAACAAACGGCATTTGATTTTGCATTTTTTATTAAGCTTCATTCCCGGGTAGCGCTTTGGTATGTCGGTTCTTGAGAATGTTTTGGGAATATTTACAAATTGAAAGGAAAAATAATTTAATGAAGAGCACTCATCAACTAACAAAACTGACAGAGATTAAAACTTGTATTAGCAATTGCACTTATCCCAACAAATCTTCAGAAATAAACAACATGAAAAAGATATACAATCTAATCTTTTACTATTCTTTCGATGCTGGTGATGCATCACGAGACACACAAGTCAGATATTAAAGAATCGAATGCAGAATTGGAAACATTCCTTTTTCAAAGAAAAATACTGTTTTTCTATCATTTGGAATAGGTTGATACACCGAATCACTTGCTGGATAACAAACACATTGTGTCAGTCATAGAACAATTAACGTACACGTAAAAACGTTGAAACCGCTCAAATACACAGTTATTCATTGTCGTGTATGGAGACCAAGATGGTAACATATGGGTCGATCTACTTACCAGTGCAGCTTAAATTCAGACGCCAAGTCGACTAAATACCTCAGACCATTTGTGAAGTTGCCTCCATTCGACCTAAATATAATGGTTAATAAGAAACTTTTAAACTTGAAGGACTCATACAGTCCTTGGATGGTGTAAACTTCCCACTTACACCATACACCATTACACCATACACCTTGTGCTATTACACCATACACGTTACACCTTTGCACCATACACCTTACACATTACACCATACACCATTCTATCTTCACGATCCGAAATTACCCATAATGCAATTAAATTTCAAAGAAAGCGTGCGACTACAAAATTATTTATTTGTTTTAAAAAACAAATTTTGATCACAATATTGTAAATTAATGTATAAAATTAAAACCTCCGTGGTCATGCCTATGATGGTTATATAAACAATACATATTAAATATATATGCATGTATTTGTAAATAAAGTACGCATAAAACTTTGCTTGAAATGCAAATTTATCCGCGATCTGTCTATCTATAAATTAAAAAAGAAATTGGTTACAATGCTATTATTATCGGTTTTAAAATGTAGCGTAAATCTTATAAACTTGGTTTTCAGATAAAATCGACAAACAATGCCAAAAACGAATAGTACTTAGATCATATAAAATAATCATGATAATTGAAAGCAATATTGGTGTACAGTTAATCATGCTTATGGCCAGCGTAATATTAATAATATTTCTTTTTCTGCACCAATCAACAGTACAAGTATGCATGTCCTTTTTTTATTCAAATAATTGAATCATCACAAAAAATCAGTAGTTTTGACATCTCAGACTGGTTCCAATATAACATGTTTTTTTACTCTCTCAGGAACATATATATATTATCTGTAGTTTTGATACTTCAGGCTGACTGGTACGTGTACAACAAAATTATTTTAACACATCAACAAAAACTGACCATATTTGCACTTTATTATAAAATTGAGGATGGAAATGGGGAATGTGTCAATCTGTTAATTTATATAGGGTTAAAATTTTTGGAAATATTTTTGTCCTATATTTATTAAAAATATTGTCTCGCAACAAAATTTCAGTAATTTTGATACCTCATGCTGACTCATATAACAAAAATATTTTAACGCTTCAACCAAATCTGACCATGTTTGAACTTTATTATGTAAATCTATAAAGCCGCATAGTAAATCAGCAATAGTTTGATGTCAGGATGGATTGTATAATACAAATGACAGCAACATTGCAACACAATGACAACAAAAATTCGTCCCCATCAATCTAGATTGCCAGCATGTCCTCTTTTTATTCAAAATATTGTCTCGCAAGAAAATTTAAGTAGTTTTGATACCTCAGGCTGACTCGTATAACAAAATAATTTTAAAGCATCAACCAAAACTGACCATATTTGCACTTTATTATGTAAATTTATTTAGCCGCATAGTAAATCAGCAATATTTTGGTGTCAGGATGGATAATATAATACAAATAACAGCAACATTGCAACACAATGACAACAGCAATTATCCCCATCAATATAGATTGCCAGCATGTCCTCTTTTTATTCAAAATATTGTATCGCAAGAAAATTGCAGTAGTTTTGATACCTCAGGCTGACTTGTTTAACAAAATTATTTTAAAGCATCAACCAAAACTGACCATATTTGCACTTTTAATATTATGAATATCTATATAGCCACATAGTAAATCAGCTATATTTTATGGCAGAATGGATTGTATAATATAAATGACAGCAACATTGCAACACAATGACAACAAAAATTATCCCCATCAATCTAGATTGCCAGCATGTCCTCTTTTTATTCAAAATATTGTCTCGCAACAAAATTTCAGTAATTTTGATACCTAAGGCTGACTAGTATAACAAAATTATTTAAACGCATCAACAAAAACTGACCATATTTGCACTTTATTATGTAAATTTATATAGTCACATAGTAAATCAGCAATATCTTGATGTCAGGATGGATTGTATAATACAAATGACAGCAACATTGCAATACAATGACAACAAAAATTTTTCCCTATCAATCTACATTGTCAGCATGTCCTCTTTTTATTCAAAATATTGTCTCGCAAGAAAATTTCAGTAGTTTTGATACCTCAGGCTGACTCGTATAACAAAATTATTTTAACGAATCAACCAAAACTGATCATATTTGAACTTTATTATGTAAATCTATATAGCTAAATAGTAAATCAACAATATTTTGATGTCAGAATGGATTGCATTATACAAATGACAGCAACATTGCAACACAATGACAACAAAAATTTGCAGTAGTTTTGATACCTCAGGCTGACTTGTTTAGCAACATTATTTTAAAGCATCAACCAAAACTGACCATATTTGCACTTTTAATATTATGAATATCTATATAGCCACATCCCCCAAGGGTGACTGGGGAATAGAAGTATGGTCACCATTGGTCTTCCTCCGACCGGCAGTAAAACCCGTGCTAAAGTGGGGCGTCCGTTTGGCTGTGCGGGATGTACAAATTTGCAGCCACGTCCGGTCAGAATGGGGACGTTAAATCCGATGCCTCGTGTAAAGATAGTGTCACGCTCTTTGCACGTTAAGAACCCTTGCAACAACTCTTTGAGGGGTCCGTAGGTGACCTGTTGCAAGGCTAAATTTCTGTCCCTATCCAATATACCCTGATTTCCCGTGGCAGTCTAAATTTCTCCGACCTTAATCCCTTAATCTATTACAGAACCTACCTATTGTATTTATTGTGAACTTGTTCTCGTCCTGAATATGCATGAAATATTTGCCACTGGACGTTAAGCAACCAACAATCAATCAATCTATATAGCCACATAGTAAATCAGCTATATTTATGGCAGAATGGATTGTATAATATAAATGACAGCAACATTGCAACACAATGACAACAAAAATTATCCCCATCAATCTAGATTGCCAGCATGTCCTCTTTTGTATTCAAAATATTGTCTCGCACGAAAATTTCAGTAGTTTTGATACCTCAGGATGACTAATATAACAAATTATGTTAACGCATCAACCAAAACTGACCATATTTGCACTTTATTATGTATATCTATATAGCCATATAGTAAATCGGCAATATCTTGATGTCAGGATGGATTGTATAATACAAATGACAGCAACAGTGCAATACAATGACAACAAAAATTTGTCTCGATCAATTTAGATAGCCAGCATGTCCTCTTTTTATTCAAAATATTGTCTCGCAAGAAAATTTCGGTAATTTTTATACCTCAGGCTGACTAGTATAACAAAATCATTTTAACTCATCAACAAAAAATGACCATTTTTGCACTTTATTATGTATATCTATATAGCCACATAGTAAATCAGCAATATCTTGATGTCAGGATGGATTGTATAATACAAATTTATGACAGCAACAGTGCAATACAATGACAGCAAAAATTTGTCCCCATCAATCTAGATAGCCAGCATGTCCTCTTTTTATTCAAAAAATTGTCTCGCAAGAAAATTTTAGTAGTTTTGATACCTCAGGCTGACTCGTATAACAAAATTATTTTAAAGCATCAACCAAAACTGACCATATTTGCACTTTATTATGTAAATCTATATAGCCGCATAGTAAATCAGCAATATTTTGATGTCAGGATGGATTGTATAATACAAATGACAGCAACATTGCAATACCATGACAACAAAAATTTGTCCCCATCAATCTAGATAGCCAGCATGTCCTCTTTTTATTCAAAATATTGTCTCGCAACAAAATTTCAGTAATTTTGATACCTCAGGCTGACTTGCATAACAAAATTATTTTAAAGCATCAACCAAAACTGACCATATTTGCACTTTTAATAATATGTATATCTATATAGCTACATAGTAAATCAGCTATATTTTATGGTCAGAATGGATTGTATAATACAAATGACAGCAACATTGCAACACAATGACAACAAAGAAGGATGGATTGTATAATACAAATGACAGCAACATTGCAATACAATGACAACAAAAATTTGTCCCTATCAATCTAGATTGCCAGCATGTCCTCTTATTATTCAAAATATTGTCTTGCAAGAAAATTATAGTAGTTTTGATACCTCAGGCTGACTCGTATAACAAAATTATTTTAAAGCATCAACCAAAACTGACCATATTTGCACTTTATTATGTAAATCTATATAGCCGCATAGTAAATCAGCAATATTTTGATGCCAGGATGGATTGTATAATACAAATGACAGCAACATTGCAATACAATGAAAACAAAAAATTGTCCCCATCAATCTTGATGGCTAGCATGTCCTCTTTTTTTCAAAATATTGTCTCGCAACAAAATTTCAGTAATTTTAATACCTCAGGCTGACTCTTATAACAAAATTATTCAACAGCATCAAACAAAACTGACCATATTTGCACTTTATTATGTAAATATATATAGCCGCATTAAAATGCAATAATATTTTGATGTTAGGATGGCTTATATAATACATATGACAGAAATATTGGAAAACAATGACTTCAAAATAATGTCCGCTTTAATTTAGAGTACGCGTGCCAGCATTTCATCTCTGTATTCGTTATATAATACTGTCACTAAAGTCAGTATAGTATCTGTATTTCCCACTTCTGAATATGGATGGGTACGTCACAGAATCCTTTTGGGCTATTGTGTGATGGGTTGGTCTGCGCATAAATTAGTCGTGCTTGCTGAGGTGTGATGATTTAAACCAATTCACTACCTCTAATTTAGAACGTAAAAGTAGCCCTAATCTGACACAACATAGTGCTTTTGATGTCATAGTTTACTTGAACTAACCAATAAATTTGCAGAAATGAAATGTTTAGTGAAAGAGTTGTTTTGTTGTCGCCAATTGAATTTAAGTGGTGATCATATTTAAATCATTTTGGGCAAAAATTTACTAGTTTATATCTTATATTAAACTTTTAAGAAAGCATTGTAGTAATTCCATAAAATAAATCATAATTGATTAATTGTAATTTGTATTCGGTAGATAACACACAAACACATACAATCCATTTCGAATTACTCAATGCAATAAACAGCTGCGCCTTGAACGCATGATACGCCCGTCGTCTTGTGTGTGAATTTTTATGCAATAATCATAAATAGTTTCTGACATACGGCACGACATGCGAAACCCCCTCCCCCCCTTTTTTTAACCAAAAACTCAAAATCTCTAAAATAAAATTTTGAATCAAAACCAAAAAGTATACAGATCTTTAGATTACCATAACTAAGAAGTGTGTAAAATTTTAAACATTAATCATAAATTGTTTTTGAGATACGGCGCGACATGTGAAAACCCCCCTTTAAAAAAAAATCAATATCTCTAAAAGAAAATTTTGAATCAAAACCAAAAACTATACAGATCTTTAGATTATTATAACTAAGAAGTGTATAAAATTTTAAGCAATAATCATAAATCGTTTTGAGATACGGCGCGACATGTAAAAAACCCCTCCCCCTTATTTTACAAAATACTCAATAACTCAAAAATAAGATTTTGAATCATCACCAAAAAGTATACAGATCTTAAGATTAAATATAACTAAGAAGTGTGTAGAGTTTTAAGCAATAATCATAAATTGTGTTTGAGATACGGCGCGACATATGAAAAAAACACACACCTGTTTCAGTTATTAAGTCCCGTAACTCAAAAAGTTTTAATCTGATTTTCACCAAAAAGTATACAGATCGTTTGACCATCATAAGAAACAACTATGTTAAGTTTCATGAAATTTGGATAAGTCGTTCTCAAGTTACGGTGCGACATGTTTACGCCGGACAGACAGACGGACAGACGACATTTGTGTACTATAATACGTCCCGTCAAAATTTTGACGGGCGTATAAAAACAAATCTGAATTCGAATAAACTTATTAATGTTCAAAAAATCAACCTTTCCGTCATTTATATTACAACCTTTCCGTCATTTATATTACAACCTTTCCTTTATTTATATTACAAACATGCAGAATATTTTCTTGTTTGTTAAAATAAATTCCAAAACAGTTTTTCTTATCCGGATTTCTTATTTTTTTTTATTTTCCATATTGAAATATTCATGGAACAAATGAATGTTCAAATGTTTTTAAAATGCGTAAAAAACAGTATTCGAACAACATTAATGAAATACAAAAGCCGAGGAAAATTCAAGTTACATTTTCAAAAACAATTATAATCTTTCTGTAATTTGTTTTCAATTAAGTTAGAATGATAGTAAAGAAAACAAAAATAAATAAAAGTTATTTTGAATGACTAAATACACAAACAGATCCGAGTGCGAACGTACTAATTGTCTGAAAGAATTATTCATGTTTATTTTCATTCTGTTTTACGTCAAAAAGAAAAGCATCATCATCAGTACAAACAAGAAGAATTTTATTTTTTTTGTCAAAATAAATTCCCCACGGATCATTCAATCCATCCGATTTAGTAAGAAGTTCTCTGTGATGTTTCCCGTCGTCTGATACAACTACTACAGTGTTGGTGTTAGAACGAGTAACATAGACATTCCCCTCATTATCTGTTGTCACACAACGTAAATCTTGAATTTTATCCTGTTTAAACTTCCGAATAAGTTTTCCATCTAACGAGCAGCAGTATATTGATGTGTCTATACAAACCAACCTGTCTCTGTCTACTGTAATGTCGGTGATATCGTCTGAAGGTAAAGGTATAGTACGTATTACTTGACCTGCCAGGTCCATCACGTGTATTATACTCCTATCAATAACAACGTACAGGTTATTATCAATATATGATATTCCGTAGCAGCGACCATTGGTGTTGAATTTACTGTTGATAGAACCTGTAGATATATTTATTATCAGTATGGTTCTGCCATCACAGGATACTGCTACAGTATTACTATTTACCACTGTCATATAATATGGTTGATAGGAAAGAGGAATGTGATGGATATCAGTACCGTCTGAATTACAAATAATAAGTCGCTCATTCCTACAGTCGGTAAACACTAATGTATTGTCTGTTTTGATACAGCTAGTAATGCCCAGATATTCATTCGTTGACTTTTTTATATTTAACTGTTGACGTAAAGTGACAGAAACAGGAAGGTTGTATTTGACAGGTGTTTGAGCTTGGGTGAATGATTCCTCTGTGGTTGTTGTGTTTTCTGAAAAAGAAAAAAAAGCATTCAACAAATACCTGAAAAAATGGATTGAATGTTGTAACATTTCTCTTGGTTAAGTACACTATGAAATGTTAATATGGAAGGAGGCGGGGTAGGATTTTTTGCGGATTGACTTCATTTTCATCGGTTACTTATTATTGTCCGGCGGCCTTATTTTAATTTTGCACATTATCCTGTACTTTGTTTAAGGACTCTGTGGGATTTTTTTTTAAGAAAAAAATACACAAAAAGCATTTATTATTTGAAATATTTATGTGGTAGAAATATACTAGGACAAGAGTTTTCATTTTTATGTTTGACCTTTGACCCCAAGCATCTGCCTGATATTCATGAATATATACCTTTTGTCTGCCAACATTCCAATTTACAATAAAAACACACTAAAAAACTTAGTATTATAACTACCGCAGCACACATCATACACAAAATGAGCAGAAAGGATGCAAAAACTAACTATTTCTTATAGCGTATGACCCTTGTACGTGAAAATCTTATTTCGCACAGGAAAATACGGGAAACTGTACTAGTTAGCACAAAACGTTAAAAAACGAAATTTTCAAATGTTTTGAATTTTTAATTTCCATGTACTTTTTTGACCATATGATTTACACAAATAGCAGTTTCTTGTTTTAGAAGTGTAGCAAGTGTTTAATAAGACTACCATTGTTAGATGCAAAAGTCGGTTTGTCTAAGGTCCAGGGTAAGAACTGACCCCCCCCCCCCCCCCCCCCCCTATTTCTACCATTTTTTATTATGATAAAATCAAAGAAAATTAGTTTCAATCCACCTTTCCATGTGAAACTCTCTACATCAACCTTAACGATTTCCAGATTTCAGACAGTAATAATGAATTAAGCATAGAAATAAAAATTAAAAACACTAATCCAGGCACGTATCATATTTATTATGCACATATTTACTGCAAATAATAACTCAAAAGAGTCAAAAAGAAAGACACGCAGCTTTGCTTCAAGTCATGATTTTGTAATTATTTTTGTGGTTATTTTGCTGTCTTGTTACTTTATACATCTCCTTTCATTCATGAGCCAAGATAAAAAAATCATTGACAATTTGTTTTATGTCCAGTGGCAAATATTTCAAACACATTCAGGATGAGAACAAAATATAAATAGATGTAATAGCTTGGTTCTGTAATAGGGATCGACCGGGGAAAAGGAGGGGAATTTCAACAGTCACCAGCTGAAAATGTGGGTATAATGGATAGGGCATGATTTTTCTCCTTTGCATCAGGCTACCCACGGACCCATAAAAGAGTTGCTGCAAAAATTCCTAACGTGCAGGGAGCGTGGTACTCTCTCTTCACGAGGCCTTAATTCGTCCCTATTCTAACCGGGCGTGGTTGTGTATTCACACATCCCACACAACAAAACGGATGCTCCACTTTGCCAAGGGTTTTACTTGTGGTTGGAAGAAAACCACATTTCTATACCACCAGTCACCTTTGGGGTTCAAGAATGAAAACATGCTACTGAACAGGTCTTGTATGTACAGAAAATGAGAATAACACAGGCCTGTATATACGTAACATATATATGTACAGGCACTCTTTCATACATTCAATTCAAAATATGGACTTAAAATATGAACAATTTCATTATATGTTATGAATTAATCTAATTTAACATGGCCATGTTCAGATATTATTATGTTGGTATCGTCTTCTGAAAAAAATAGAGCTAAATTTCCCTGAATATATTAGACATCAGGACAATTTCCAAAGAGTTCATTATTATCAATATTTAGAGTATGATATCTTCTTGTGTATACTTTGAAGGTCTAACCACAACATTATGACATTTCTTTAAAAACATATCACCTAATTATGGGTCGAAGCTGCAACTTAGGTAGATTGTTACAAGTCTGCACATGTACATTTGTACCACAACAATGAAGAAGAATAGCATACTTTACCAAAACCAATAAAATTGAGAATGGAAACGGGGATGGGAAAAGAGACAACAACCCGACCAAAGAGCAGAAAAAAGCCGAAGACTACCAATGGGTCTTCAACACAGTTAGAAAACCTCGCACCCGGAGGTGGTCCTCAGCTGGCCCCTCAATGATAATGTATACTAGTTCATCGAAATGGACGCCACACTAAACTCCATAGAAACGCTCATTCTTGTATTTCAGATACAAATCATTTTAGTTGTTTTAAGGATATCTTTCAATGTAAAATTTTGAATATCATTTTATAATATTTTGTTTATACATACTGTTTTAAAACTGTCCCCTACAACAATATATAGCACTGAATAACCCTTTGAATTAATAGATAGATATGTGTAAATTTTTTGCAAAATCTTCAATATGTATTGATTTAGACTCTAGAACACTTCGGATTTGTAACCTCCAAGTAAAAAAACTTGTTTAATATATATAAGATGTTATTTTTTTAAAAATATTAATCGAAATATTACAATGCATGTATTTGAATAAATCCGTGTGGTGGTGGATGAAAATGACAACTATTTCACATGAAGGAGTCAAACCAGCTAAGAAACTCTTATTCATCTGTAGATAAATCTTTATACATGACACGATATGTGGTTTATAATTATAATTGGCTTAATGTCCAGTTGCAAACATTTCATATATGCTCAATAAGTTAGCAAATCAAATTATTCATTTATTTATGGTCTTCAAAAATAGACGATCGCGGAATGAAGGGCAGGAAATTAAGACTTCAAACGTTATAGCGGGATTGTTAAGTATGTGTGTGGATTTGCCTTGCAGAAAGATAAATGCTTTCCGCAAACAAGGCTTCAAATTTAAAGTTGACTTACTGTTGCTTCGTATTTATGCATCCGATATACCAAACAGCTAAAGTACAGCCACCTCAATAAGGGTCTTACATCCGAAAAACCTGGGCCAACAATTCGGTTTGAAAAAGGGATAGTATAGCCATACATATTTTTAATTCAGGTTACAAAATGTTCAAGCTTAGAAACATTACATCTGGGTTAAAAACAGCTAGATTCAATACATCTTTCTTTAATTTATATATAATATATATAATTTGAAAGAAACTTTATGATTTTCAGGGATATATAGTTTTAAAAATGATATTATTATGAATGAACGCTGTTACATGTAAATCTAAATCACATTAATATAAACTGTATCGTGGTAAAAAATCTTAATTCAACTTGATAAATGTTGTTAGATCTTAAACATATACATGCAACACTTTGACATACGCTTGGTTCAAATAAGTGCAGCAATTTTGCAATTTCGAAATGAATTTAGTGAGTGGTTTAGTGTTTTTTGATTGGAAGCATTTAGTTACTTTCTAAGACCCCGTTTACACTTGTAAAAAAGATCAATCTATCTTGAGATCGAAAGATCGATCCTTAGTCTAATGTTAACGGGAAAGATCGATCTTCAATCGGACTTACAAAGTCCACCTCCAGAGGTGGTTTTAAAAAGATCGATCTGTTTTGAATCGATCTTTCTTCAGGTGTAAACGCTAATATCGATCTCGATCGATCTTTCTTCAAGTGAATGATATAGTTAGATATGAAAATAAATCTGCGCATGTTCGGCGACAAAAACACACGTGTTTAAAAATGATGGATGGGAAAAGATTCCGCCGTTTTTGCATCATTCTTCTGAACCGATAAATTCTAGTTCTTTGCTGCAAATCCTCATCTTCAAAGGCATTGACAGTTTGTTTTCAAGTGATAGTCTTCTCGCATTTCTTTGTTTAATGGCTTGTGACGTGTTAACCAAAAAGATAATTGATAACTGCATACGAAATTCCAATGATCCAACTATGTTTTCCATAATTTTGCAGTGTGTGATAGTCCGCGCGAAATGCACTCGTTATTATTCCAATCAATTTTTACGATTATTTGTTTACGAAATGTAAAGTAATCAGGTCAGACCGGTTCTGTTTATGTTGCAGTGTAAACGCACTAGATTAGATAAGATCGATCTCGATCGATCTTGCTTGTGCAAATGTAAACGCGAACTTTTTAAGATCGATTTAAATACAGATCAGTTCAATTTCGTACAAGTGTAATATTTTAAAGAAGACGTGTTTCATGTAGTATGTGTTCCGTGACACAAATTCAAAGTTGAATCAAATGCTTCTTATAAATATTATACTTGGTTCCTTCAAACTTAATCAATACTGAATGGTAATAACTGAGGACAATCAATAACAAGCTTTTATAGCCGACCATAGGGTATGGTTTTTTTCTCATTGTTGAAGGCCGTACGGTTGCCTATTATTGCTTACATCCACTTCATTTGAACTTTGATGGATATAGTTGTCTCTTTGGCAATCATACCACATCTCCTTATTTTTATTTTGTTTGTATCCATATTATTTTAAGATAAAACATGATGTTGTTAATTCTTTTTTGCTTGTTTTGCTTATTTTCATTTTAATTTTTCGTTAAATCATTTTGACTTTTCTTTTTCGTCTTGTTTTATGTTTGTTTTGTTTTTGTTTTTTTTTTGGAAATGGGCGGGAGGGGGGGTATAATTTATTTTTTTCAACATTTTTTACAAAACCTGGACCATTCTAATTTTTAAAATAGAAAATATTTACGTCGCTTGTATTGCATATTTTGTTTGAATTCAATTATAATAATATATTTTTTCTTTAAAGGAAAGTATTAATTGGTTGAGTAAATAGATTATTTATACTTAACTCTTACTATTGCATTACAATTTTTATTAAGTTATGTGAATTCAAGTGTACAGAATATCCTGCACAGTACCTCAAACTTTTTTTTATAAACAAAGGGAATTAACCCTTAACAGGTATCTATGATGACAATATTTCATGAAGTTAGTTTTCGAGCGAATCTTTGTCGTATTTGTGCAAGTAAATATGTATTCGAATTTATAATCTTATTAATTGACAACAATGGATCGTGAATAACGCAACCATTACGTTCGAGTGTAATTTAGCAGAAATTGAAAGTTTAACTGATTGCATGATGATGTGAACAGTGAATAAATATAACGTTACGGCGCTATTTTGGTTCTTTTAATGCTGGACCCTGCCGCCTTTGACGCACTGGCGCCTCGTCAATTCGTAACACATTTACATAAACTGGACATTTTTGTAAAGATAATATGTTGTAGATTGCGGGGAGCGATGGATCCTTGAAAAATATGTGAACATGGGGTTTCTTTCGGGTGAAAACTCAAAATTTTGTAGATTTTCTTCAAAATTAGACACCTTTTTGACGAAATTGGATTAGGATACCAACAAAATTTTACTGTTCTCAACTTCAGGATGATGCATGCAAAATGTTGATGTCTGTTTACGTTTCTATAAATAGCGCTAGGTCCCGATAGGATATCAAATTGTTGAATATGATAGCGAAAAATAAACGTTGTGGATAATATTACCGATTTTCAAGTTGTTATGAAATATAGATACAAAAGGGTAAAGTCTATAACTTTTAGCCTAGTTTGAAGAGCTAAAATTCAAGTTTCCTGTGATATTTTATTTTTAACCGACATCGAATGAAAAAGTTTTTATTTTGTAATTTTTACCGACGTCGATAACACCAATTATGCATTACGGCAGATATGAGTTTATTGACGTGACGTTCCCACAGAGTCCCTACTTTGTTTTACAGAATATTCCTTTCATCCGGTTTATGGAATAGTTATTTATTTTCATCTCTTACCAGACCAATATTTTCAGTTTTAAAATCATTTTGCCCCACCCCAGCGAATCGTCCCCTAATTCAAGGAGTGTGTTAATGAAGGAGATTAAAAACATAAGAGTAATGTGTTGAGCATTGTTATGTACTGGATAGACCTATGCAGTGGGAGAACTTATTTGTTTGGTGCTATCTATGTCATGTTATAGAAAAAAAAATGATCTATAGACTACCTTTGTCCTACTGCCTTGAACTTTATTCAGCATATTGCTGGGTTTTTAAGGATACATAAGAATGTATTGTCTTTTTAGTTTCTTTTTCTAGGAAATCATAGAACCAACTGATAAAAAACCACAAGACGCTGGGAAAACTTGTCACAATGAATAAAAATTGAAACGCACCAGATATATTGGATAGAAGAGTGGATTTGCAATAAGAATTGTAAAGAAATTTCATCATTGCAGTCATATACGAGTTGACTACTGTATAGAACCATGATCAAAGTACCAAGATATGCAAGGGCTTAAGTGTAATAGTGCCTTACTGTAAAGAACTAACAATTTAATTTTATTTTTAACATGTTCTGTCTTGAAAATGAACGAGACATTTGCCACTGGACGTATTAAGCTAGCAACAATTCAACAATTTATCATTTATGAGCTGATCATTTAGAAATACTTTCTGATGTTCTATTCTTCATGACTTAAAATATTTTTTTTTTATAATGGGGGAATTTAAATACAATTATTTGACCCTAACACAGCATGTCTTTCGGTTACGTTCAGATCTGGCAGGGGGCAAGCTTCACAAGGGAGCATCGCAACCCAGGATAGGGAAATCGGTACAGATATAAATATCTCGCCCTTAGGGGCTTCGTTGCAAGTGGCCTCCGGTGGATCTGTGGGATGTATAAGTACTAACAAACATCAGACTATAATAGAGTGATATAATTAGATCACCCTATTACGACTCTCTGTAGTTTTGAAGATCTTTATGTTGCATATTGCGAAGAAAGATGTTTTACTAAAGGCACTATTCGCACATTTTGTAACTGTCAATATCTCAAAGCCTTTCACACCAGTCGATGAACTTTCAGGGTTGACTTTTAAATGTGTTCTTTTGTGCTGTTTCATAATATGAATTCATATCAAATATGATCTCTAAGCCAACAAAAAAAAATAATCTTTACATGTTATTTGGTTACTCATCGATGAAATGCCATACCACTGATATATAATGAACCAAAAGAATGATTGGGGTATACAAATATGGTCACCGTTACCTCTTTCTACCATCAGTAACAACATTGCCTTTGAGAGTAAAGAAATATGGTCAACTGAACATCTTCCTATCAGCAGTAACAACATTGCCATTGGGGTAATAGAAATATGGTCACCTAAACCAGCAGTAACAACATTGCCTTTGAGAGTACATAAATATGGTCAACTGAACCTCTTCCTACCAGCAGTAACAACATTGCCATTGGAAGAAAATAACGTAAATAAATATGGTCAACTGAACCTCCTCCTAACAGCAGTAACAACATTGCCATTGGGGTAAAGAATTGTGGTCAACTGCAACTCTTCCTACGAGCAGTAACAACATTGCCATTGAGATAATAGAAATATGGTCACCTAAACCTCTTCCTACCAGCAGTAAAAACATTGCCAAAGGTAGGCGTTGCGTGGGATGCATAAATACGATTTCTCGTTTAAATGTAACAATATAAAGATGTGGTTTGGTTGTCAATGAGACAACTCCCCACCAAAACCCGCATGTCATAGAAGTTAATAACTATTTGTTACCGTACGGCAATATAAAGATGTGGTTTTGTTGTCAATGAGACAACTCCCCACCAAAGCCCGCATGTCATAGAAGTTAATAACTATTTGTTACCGTACGGCCTTCAACAATGAGCAAAAGCTATACCTTGTAGAAGGCTATAAAGGATCCCGAAATGACAAATGTAAAACGATTCAAACAAGAAAACAAGCAGCCTGATTTATGTCTGAAATAATAAAAGAAAACCAAATATGATGAATAGCAGCTAACGACAGGCACATACCGAGTGTGGCGGGATTAAACATATTCGCTGGCGTCATATCCTCTTCCAAACCGCGGACAGATGTGTTACAATACAATATATATAAGATCAAACTATCAAAATCAGTTGAAATGTACATTACTCCTCAGATCGATAAAAAAAAGCACATAAGGACCCTAATACAAACACAAAATACATATATGAGAGTACTCGCAGTCAATTGAAGATAGTTCAAAGCCAATAACAACCAACATAAAATAATGTTGCCAAGACTAAAGAGAGACGAAGGATACCAAACGGACATTCAAACTCAAAGTTCATTTTCTGTCGCTTATCCAACTGACCCTCAGGTGTTAAAGTTTTCTGTCGCATATTCAACTTACCGTCAGGTATTAGAGATTGGGCGTATGCTTCTTCTTTTTCTAAAATAGATGAAATGATTTTTTTTAACAAAAAATTGGATAAGATAGTTTATTGTTTTATTGTCCACCATTTTACAATACTTACTTATTTAATGTATTCTTAATTTGTTTTCGTCTTTCAAATGAATTAAACATTTGCCACTGGTCGTAAATGCCACTAGGGTGATTGGGGAAAACAATTATTATTATAGGTCTTTTTTAGATCAGCAGTTAATCCCTTGAAAAAGTGGGACGCCATTTTGACATGTACGCGGTCACGTCTGCTAAGAATGGGGACGTTGAATAAGAAGCCTCGTGTCGAGAGAATGTCACACTCTTTGCACGTAAAGAACCATTGTAACAACTCTTCGAGAGGTCCGTAGGCTGCCTGTTACATGGTAACGTTCTGTCCCTATCTAATAAACCCTCATTTTCCAGTGGAAGTATAAATTTCTCCGACCGTAATTTCGCACTGCCGCATACAGGCCTATTATATCTATTGTTAATCTGTTCGCGTCCTAAATATGCTTTAAATTATTGCCATTGGACGTTAAACACTCAACCAATCAATCGTCATGAAAATGTGTGAAATATATGCCACTGGTCGATACTTAGACAACTATCAATCAATCTATAACTTATGAACCTTTTATCATTAAGAAAATCTATTCTGTGGTTTGTAGTGTCAAATATTTAGTTTTGTGGTATATTCTTTCTGACTAAAATTCTGTTGATGGAAATAAGGGTAATTTAATATTTCAATTATAAGGGGAAATGTTAAATTATAATACCCCCCAAGGGTGACTGGGGAATAGAAGTATGGTCACCATTGGTCTTCCTCCGACCGGCAGTAAAACCCGTGCTAAAGTGGGGCGTCCGTTTGGCTGTGCGGGATGTACAAATTTGCAGCCACGTCCGGTCAGAATGGGGACGTTAAATCCGATGCCTCGTGTAGAGAGAGTGCCACGCTCTTTGCACGTTAAGAACCCTTGCAACAACTCTTTGAGGGGTCCGTAGGTGACCTGTTGCAAGGCTAAATTTCTGTCCTTATCCAATATACCCTCATTTCCCGTGGCAGTCTAAATGTCTCCGACCTTAATCCCTTAATTTATTACAGAACCTACCTACTGTATTTATTGTGAACTTGTTCTCGTCCTGAATATGCATGAAATATTTGCCACTGGACGTTAAGCAGCCAACAATCAATCAATAAATTATAATACTGGACACCATACCATGAGGTCTTTCGCTTTTGCAGTGATCTGGTAGGTAGTTGTTTCATGAGGGAGCTTCCATATCCAGGATAGAAAAAAATATTTAAAATCCCTCTTTTTTAGGAGTGAGGTTTTGTTGCAAGGTAGCTGCGCAGGATGTTTGAATACGCATCTACATCAAAACGTAAAAGAGAAGTTGAATAAGAAGATTGTTGTAGTGCAATGCCACTCTTCCTTTAGTAAAACTCTTATAACATCGCTTTACGCAAGCCGTAGTTGACTTTTAGTTATATATCATTTGCCGTCAATTTGTGGCCGTCAAAATCCAAAAACCCTACATACCAGTCCTCACACTTTGAGGGGTGACTATTACATCTGTTCTTAATTTGTGCTATTTCATATCATGCATGACACTGATCTTTTAGCTAAAATTTTATATCAATTGATCTTCGCCGATTTATGTTATGTTACTTGATGACTCAGAAATGGAATGCAATTTTGTTCACAATTTGGAAATTAGAAAAGTCAACGAAAATGTTATGTTCATAATTTAAGAGTTTCTAATAAAAGAGTTGTTAAACTTTTTTTGCCTTATTAAATTTTTTTACAGGCAATGATTACTTATATGTGTCTCCCATAACGCCGTCCGACATTCGATCAAATAAGTGGATATCCGTATCAATGTCAGACCAAGAAAACTGGGATCAGCTTGAATGATATATCGGGTAATTACATATTAGGTAGGACCAAGTTATTCAAGAAGCTTAACAGTATGAAACTGGTTGTTAGAATTTAATTATACTATAAGTTCGATCATGCTTTAATTGATGATAATATTTGGGAGAACAAGCAAGCTGCTTTCGTTAAAAGAAAAATATAGAACTGTGTTCGTCTTTACGATATTTGAAACATGAATATAGATGCATTCTTTAAAGCTGTCAAATTCATCTTCACTGATTCGACTCAAATTCTCATATTTGATTTATAACATTAAAACCACAAAAAGTCTAAAATAATCAATTAGCAATACATTGACTCGATATTATGTATAAGCATTTCGTGTGTATTTTTGTATAGTCGTCATCAACCCTAAGGATGACTCGAGAATAGAAATTTGGTCACTACAGGTTTTCTTCCGACCGACAGTAAAACCCTTGCCAAAGTAGGACATCGTTGACTATCCGGGATGTACAAGTACGCAGTCACGTCCGGTCAGAATTGGAACATTAAATCCGATGCCTCGTTTAATGCGAGTGCTGCTTTCTTTGCACGTTAGGTATTTTCGCAATCACACTAAGAGGGGTCCGTAGGTGGCGGTTTCAAGGCAAATTTTCTTGCCCCTATCCAATATACTATATTAAACAATATTTTACCAGTGGCAGTCCAAATTTCTCCCGACCTTCATTCCAGACGACATCAATTATATGACCTACTGATTGTAATAATTGCTAATTTGTTCTCGCCCTGATCTTGCATGAAATATTTGCAACTGTACATTAAGCAACCAACAATCTCACGTCATCTAATTAACCATCGAATTAATATCAGTATTAAATAGACGCTTTTAAATGGTGACAAACTTGTTGTTTTCTATTACAATAATAGAATAACGAAGGATATTGGGTATTCATCTATGCCAAACAAATCTGTACATGTACAGCCAACAACACAAAGAGGAAAGGAGCAGCGTTTGTATTGCTGTTTTTCATCTCGAAAGTTACAGTAAGGCCTTCAACACGGAGCCAAACAAGTTAACCTCACTGCAAGTTGAATCAGATAGACTTTGTAAGATGCATCACCACCAAATAGAATGTCATTCGTAACAGCGTTGATATGGACACCTGATATTTTGTTATTTATACCTTACTAATAACTTGATCATGTGTGTCAACGGCCGTTGATTAAAATGACTTCACGTATTTACAGTGTGTTAGGAGACTCTGAATGGGGATTATAGAATTATTTCGCCTGTACAAAGTTAGGAATATGACAGTTGGTTTCCATTCGTTTGATGTGTTGAGTTTTGATTTTGTCATGTAAGGGACTTTCTGTTTTAAATTTCCTTGGAGTTCGGCATTTTTGTTTTGATTACTTTTTATAAAGACATTTCTACTCATAACATAAGTTTATAGAAATTAGTTTTGAATATAGTTTTTGTAATCACACCGAAACGTTATTTTTTTTAAAGAATAACTTATGTACAGACTGAGGTAATATCATCAAAAAAATAAAGGCAACAGTAGCAGTGTTCAAAAGTCGTAAATCGATTGAGAGAAAACAAATCCGGGTTACAAACCAAAACCGAGGGAAACACATCAACCACAAGAGGAAAACAAGGAAACAACAGGACCACCGAAGTGCAACAAAAACGAAAGCCAACACACATAAAAACGAACTATTTGATAACAACTGCCATATTCCTGACTTGGTACAAGAACAAATGGTGGTTTGAACCTGGTTTAATGGCTAGCCAAACTAAATAACCGAGAGAAAAATATGTTTTAATATATACTTTATTATTTTAGTTTTTCTTTTTCTTTCCAACATTGCAAGTGGCCTTGATCGAGGCAAATTGTTTTAGTGTTTTAAATCGAAAGAGTAATCGTTCGTGCGGGCAAACAAATCATAAATGGTGGATCCCGAGCGCTCTAAATTTGACCATAACAATTTTAGTAGGAAATATACGCCGAGAAAAAGTCGATGATACGGTTATAAATGTGAGCTGGAAGGAGTGGAATACGAAAATTAAAGAATTCACCCCTACTAAGCTATCTCGGTTCCGATTATCAGTTTGGTCTCAATACTGAACACAGATATTTTGTTTTTATGCTGATATTTGCTTTTAGAAAATGTCCTTTTTAAATTGTGAAATGACCATTTTGTACTAAAATTAGGTGGCCGCTGACCGCGTTAGACCTGTGGCCGTTAAAAGAGTTAAATTATATAGAGAAAACGTTTGATAGGTTTTGAAAGTGACCATTAGAAGCAGGTGACCGTTAAGGCAGGTTTGACTGTATATGGTAATTATCTACATCCCGTTGAGAGGCTCCTGACATACTGTAGTTGTGAGAAGTTATTGTTATTGTTTGACGTTTAAAAGTTTGTTATTTGCAACAATATAACAGGTGTCCATATCAACATTAGTCTATTACAAATTACGTTTTAAATATGCATCATCAGACATACACAGACATGGTTAAAGTATTTATTTACTTGCTTGAAAATGTACTTGTTCCGTTACAAGTAATAACTAGATTTATTATCGTGGAACTATCATATTATTTTGAGTACTACATTGGTGTAGTTATGCACCTCTAATTAAGGCTTTTTCGCTACTATTATATACTTTCATTTTGCAAAAAGTACAGAAAGGGTTAATTTTGAACAACAATAGCAGATGCCTTGATGGTGTCTTGACAGTATATAATCTAAAGTTGATTAAACATGCTTAACGTATTCATATTAAATAAATTAACAGAAAATATTTTTAAATTATATTGGTGCAGAAATGAAACTTAACCTATCCTTTTCCAGACTGTTATGTTCTTGTTTCATCCTATGGTATGTGCTTTCTTCACAACTTAAATTCAACGTTTTGACATAATATGAATTAATAAAGCTGACTTGAATGAATGTAACCGTGCTTTAATACCTAGGGTGTCTAGACTATCGAATACTTTAAAACTGTTTACAGTCGGTATCAGCGTCTTATTTGTAATTCTAATGTGTCTCGTAAAACGTAATTTATGGTCGTATATCTTATCCCATCATCTATTGGTATGTCGTTAACGGAACGTATACACTACAAAAAAGACACATTTAAACTCGGGAAATTTCGTAAATCTTTTAATAGGAAGATATACAAGAATGATATACCACAAAAGTATACAACAAATACCGAAGGAAACTTCAAAAAAGGGACGTAAAAAAAATATGGTAAAGATTGTACCACATTTTAAGCCTGTCCATGCCAGGCTATCGGTCATGTGTTGTTTGTTGTTGTAGTATACTAAAAAAAAACTGAAACAATACAATCCAAAAATTGCTTTGAAATCAACTACCAATTTTAGTAGAAACGGTATGCCTTTCGAAAAGCACAGAAATAGAACACGGGAATGAATAATAGGTAGTTATTTATGTCAGACAAATGTATGCATACATGAAAGTGCTATTTAATATATATGATTTTAATGTTTTCCTTCGGTTTCGGATTTTTTTAACATCTCCACCTAGGAACATTTCTATACACGTGTCAAACAAAGAACCAAAGAAATATTTTTAAATTACAAAAATGAATATAGATATTTTCGATACATATTAAATAATTATAGAATAAAGTAATATTTAATGAGTTACCAAACAACACATTATTTTCCAAAAGCGAAGTACACATGTTCGCTATGATATGATCTTTCCAATTTTAATGCCAAATTAGAGTTTTAACCCCAATTTCACGATCCACTAGACATAGAAAATGATAGTGCGAGTGGAGCATCCGTTTACTATAGACACATTCCTGGTTTTTTTTTTATGTATTTATCCTGTATAATGTCCCCGTACAGTCTTACGAGGTCGAAGTTAGCTGTTTTGAATGAAAGACAGCTGTTTTGGCTCGCAGAAAGAATACAGGATTAATGTGAAAATACCAATTTAAAAAACAGTAAACACTATTATTTAACTGTTTTATAAATATTTACAAGTATTTGCATTTCTACAAATTATGAAATGTATAACCTTAAATAAGTTACCAAGACAAACAGGTAGGAGTGTTGCAGTAATATTATTGTTTGTTCCACTTCCGTTTGAATGTTTGATGATGGCGTCCGAAATTTTTCTAAATTGCTCTTCCATTTTGTCGTTGGCTTTAAATAACTCGGCCTCGATATCGAATTCTAAATAAACTGGTTCTCCTGTAGTTGTTGGTGCGTTCCATTGTTTGAACTCTGAAAGGTAAAGGTAAAGAAAAAAATATATCCTCTAGCAGTAAAGTTTATATTGTTGAAACCGTTGATACACTGATTTCTGTTCAAATATGGAATGGTTTAAAGATAACATATGATTTTTTTTAAATTTGATTTTGTCGTGTTTCCTTGAAGTCTCTAGTTTGAAATTGACATCAACTATATAGACGAAACCTCTCGGCTTTGAACTGTTTAAAATTTGAATGCCTATTTTTGCTATAAAACTATAATGAAGAGATAAAAACTGAAAAAGCAAAAATGACCCACAAGACAGATTCGTGCATCATAGTCACAAAATATTTGGTGAGAGGACATCATACATGTTATATATATATATATATAGCAGACAGTGAAGTTAAAGGATAATGCATGATTCATTTCATTCTCCCTAAGGAGCTCTTGTATGAAGTCAGCCTTATGATTAAAGGAACAAATCGGTAGAAATTAGAACTGCAGCATACTTGGTAAATTATTGGAATGCTAATTGTTTGTCCTTCAAACGTAAAAAAGTATGTTGTAAATCACCAAATCCAGGATCTGGATAACGTCAATTTCAGAATAAAATTGTTCGAATTAAAGTGGTCCTTACAAAGTACAATTTATCAATTCCTAAAAGGGTACAGATCCAAGATAATTCAGGATTTTTTCTTTGGTAAGCGTAATGGGGTTATTTGTTTGAGTGTTCAAGTGATTTGTCAATATCTAATTCATTTATCAAGCAGTTTATGTAATGTGACTACCATACACACAAAACGATGTTTTTGGATTTTTCTGTGTGGACAACAACATAAGAAATGTCGATTTAGCATGTGTATTCATAACCTATTCATTTTATTTTTTTTTAAATTCTGATTTGTATCAATGACCTCAACGACCTGAAGGTTGCATTTTGTAAATACAGTTGTTTCACAAACCACGCCTTTTTGGGGATATGTATAATGTTCATATATATTTTGGTTAGTTTACATTCCCAGATATGATATCTGTTTTATCTCATAGAGACATAATTTGGAACGTTACCATTATAAATTAACATGGATAGCGGCGAAATTGAATTTTGGAGAACCAAAGAGAAGAGAGGGGTAGTACAGAATTTTAATATAAGTTTAAACTCTTAGAATTTCGGGGCATATTAATGTTGAAACTATACCTTTGAATAAAATAGTAGTACATATCAACTTTCCCTTCTAGAATGTAGTTTTTTTTAACGAAACTTTGATATAAAGTGGCACAGCTTTAGTCGTAATTGGAGTTCATATGGAAAATTGCATTGTCTTGCATCCGCCTCCTGTTGAAATGTGGACAATAAATCCAATGTTTTTGGGTTTGTTTTTTTTTTGTTTGAGGGTGGAGGGGAGAGGCTTTTCCCTGTACGTTATTGATGCCTTTCAACAATTCTCTGCCGAGTCGATATATGGCTTGTTGCTATACTTTTTTCCCCATCTTTCATACCTACATTTTTTTAATGTCACTCAAAAGGTCCGACTTCCATTCCGACTTCCAAACTTCTGTCCCTATCCAATATACCCTCATTTCCCGTGGCAGTCTAAATTTCTCCGACCTTAACCCCTTAATCTATTACAGAACCTACCTATTGTATTTATTGTGAACTTGTTCTCGTCCTGAATATGCATGAAATATTTGCCACTGGACGTTAAGCAACCAACAATCAATCAATCAATCCATTTTGGTCAATCTTTCTTGCAGAACGTACGTATTGTGTTTATTGTTAATTTATTATCTTCCTTTAGATGTGTGAAATATTTGCCAAGCTACAAGCTACAACCAAATAAAGTTAAATAATTAATTTTTGCTAAGATTTAGTTGATATTCATACCAACTCGGAACCGCCGAAAACAATCTTTTAGGAGCATATAGTACTCAAATGAACATATAGTTATTTAAAATTGAGGTTAAGATTTTTTTATGAAACATTAATTACAAACCTTCTGCAGGTAACAAAAGCATATCGAAACGTTCAGTATTGGAGGTCGTAATAAATTCGAAAATCTTTCTCAAAAATAAAGCCAGGGTGGATTGTAATAGTTCATCTGTTTCCAGCATTTGTGCTAATATATCTACATGTAGAACTATACTCCCTTTAGTGGCAACAATGAATTCAATTCCACTCAAGTCTTTGTTTATCTCGTCTTTGAGGGAGTTCAGAATATCAATCGTTGCCTCGACATTCTCCTCGTTCTGGAAGATGATCTGTACACGGACTTTACGTCTTCCTTCTAAATATTATAAAGTTATTCATTACATTCCTTTGGCGATATAACATACCACAAATCGATGGCTTTAACCACTTTCATGTAAATGTTAAGATATAATCACAAAATTGTACACATAAGGAAAGGCAAATGTGTTGTCCTACAAATCTAATTTTTACCAATGTGTTTATCACTATCAAAAAAAGTCAATGGCTAAAGTTTAGAATATGAAAATATTTATTTCCTGGACAATTATTAAAATCTTCCCCTTCATGAAAGAAAGGCACCCATCACTTTTCAAAAACAAGAGGTGAAATACATATACCTTTGTAAATTAAACATTATTGGTGTTAAGTCTACAGACGTTGACATTGTTTTACAGCAACCACTTTCGAAACTGAAAATGTGTGTCAAACTAAATATGATAAAACATATTTATCAAGAAACTAAGTGCAACGAATAGCCAGTGAATGATTTTTAAATTTGAAACCTGAATCTGAAATTCTCTCTCTTTTTTTCCTTTTCAAAAATGTGCTACCTGCTTACCTATGGTTTTTAACATAAATTGACTCTTTCATTTCAAAATATGAATAGATATATGGTGAATTTAGTGTTTTTCCCAACCGGCAGTAAACCCTTGCCTAAGTTTAGCGTCAGTTTGGCTGTGTGGATTGTATAAGTACGAAGCCACGTCCGGTCATAATGGGAACATTATATACAATCCAGTGTAGAGAGAGTGCCACGCTACGTTCACAACCCTTGCAAGAACTATTTTACGGCTTCGTAGGTGACCTGTTGCAAGGCCAACATTGCTGTCTTTATCCAATACCCCTCGTTTTACAGTGGCTGTCCAAATTTGCATGACCTTCATCCCGAACGGACTCTTTACAGGACTACCTCTTGTATGTATTGTGGATTCGCTCTTGCCTAGAACATTTATGAAATATTTGACACTACAAAAATTAATTAATCAATCATATTTTGGTAATTGTGACTAATCATATATTCATTCTATAGTATATTCGTTTTTAAATCACTTGTTTTCCTTTTCTTTGAAAAAGCAAACCTTACCAAATATGCTATACACTCAAACAAATTACCTTCTGATTTTTCGTTCTTTAAAAAATGTCTCAAATTCCTCAAACTGTTTTCAAAACTTTCTCCCCAGAAAAATTTTAGAGGCTTTTCTTCAAATTGTACTGTAAAATTGAAAGATATTATAATATTAATAGACATCAAAACTAAAATAATGCACATTATAAAAATAAAATGAAAAGCATAGTATGGTGTGTTTACAGGGCTTATAATGACAAAACGTATATATTCAAAAATGACACAAATCCTCCATATGTTCTAGACCAGAGATGTATAATTCCTACAAGAACGACAACTCAAAGCGACTTATCGATCACAATTGTATATAGAATGAACGAAATATGCAGAGCAGAAATAAAAACTGTATCAACTATATCAAATTTAAAAGAAAATACCGGAAGATGTAAATCTGACATTATAAAAACACTGATTTCAGGTTAACATTAAAAAACACTGATGTGCATGTAAAAAAACCAATGCACACGAATATAACAATTTATGTGGGCACACACATTTTTTTTTTCTTTTAAGATATATCAGGTATACTAGAAACCAAAACATAACTGAAGACGATTATAATCAAGGCAACAAACACAAACTGAAAAGATCGCAACCGGATATATCTACATGTTAAGTAACATCTTCTATGCATCCCTCTAATTCAGATTTCAGTCCGTTCTCGTTTTTTTACGGTACTTTCATGAATCTCAATTCATAAAAAACATATCAAATAAAATTATTGAGAAAAGATTACAGACGCCATCTCGAGTTGGTTGACCGTAATGGGATACATTTTTTTCACAGATGACGACAGATATGTTCGAATTGTCGAAACCATTTTACCGTCCTTTTTTCTTCCAATTTGACTAACCGAATAAGACTAATCACCGAGTTTGTACTTTCATGAGCAACACGACGGATGTCAAATATGGAGCAGGATATGTTTACCCTTCTTGAGCACCTGCAATTACCCCTACTTTTTGGACGGGTTTGTGTTGATTATTTTATGATTTGTTATTTTGTTTATAATTGTTTGTCTTTTCGTTGTTTTTTCTAGCCATTGGAGTGTCAGTTTGTATTCGACTTGTTAGTTTGAATATTTTTTTCATGTCTTTCGCCTCTCTTGTAAAAAGGGTGATTTACGTCAGCTCACGAATATATGAAAGAACATTAACATGCAAATATCAGTCAAATATATAAAGAATAAAAAAACGATCTCACATTCACACGACTTATTAAATCATGAAAATAACTCCCGTGGCAATCATACCATATCTAATGATAATTACATAAACTCTCAGAAAATATAAACAATAATCAGCTACTGTCTTAACACCAATGTTTTCAAACCCTGTGATATTTGTCTTACATTTTATTTTCTCTAGCTGCTTTACTGCATTCTTGTATTTGGTCTGCATTTGCATATCCATACTGCATGTCTTGTGTCTAACAATCAATTGTTCGTAATTTCTCTTTCGAAAAAAGTTGAGATCCATTCGTAATCCAATATGACGAGAATTGTCGAAGAATTCATCAAATTCAGCCTTTCCAATGTTTGTGTTGCATCGGTGGGCTATTTGGTTTCTGTAACGACGTATGCGTTCTACGTCATCTGCCAGATTTATATCTGCTTTGTCTGGATTACTTCCCCATCCTTTTGTTGGAGGATTTATCAGCGAAAACTGTCTTAACAACTTATAGATCAATGTAATGTCCATTGATTCATATGAATTTGACGCTTTTAAATCTTTTAAGCTAGTTTTCTGATCAGACGAGAAATCATTTAGATATGTCAAACACATTTGGTACATTTTGCTTGCAGAACTATTTGAGCTGATTATATCTCTAAGGATGTTTGGGAAAGTGTCAGTGATAACTCGCGAAACTCTTGAATAACGTTCTAGTTTTTCACTTTCCTCGTCAACGATGTGGATAGCTGCAAGAACAGAGAAAACACAATTATATTGTTATGTTACTTCATCAGTTTATAGTTTATACATTATTTTTGTTGTTTACGGTCACACTTTGATACATTCGCCGACATGATGCAATATAAACGTTTGGTTCAAGTCTCTCAAAATGCATCGTATCTTGAATATCCTTAAAGTCATATGAAACTTCAAATTAAAAAAAAAACGTTGAATATTGTTAAAATACTTGAATGGCTAAATTTTACTATAACACACATGTGTACGTGAACGTTCTTGTAAAATAAAATCCTTTATATTATTAAAATCTTCATAAAAGTACTGCTATTTAATAATCATCTTCCCGTACATTAATTCGTCGTTATGTTCCTGTATGCAAAGACTTCAACTACTAGATCTCTCATTAGAACTTCGGCCACCGCATAGCGAGAGTGCGAGGGGAAACCGTGATAAAAGAATGTAAACAAACGTGCGCTGGAAGGTACATAGTAATACAGAACAAATTTAATACAGCAAATCAGTAAACAACTGCTTAGGAAAAGTTTAATTAACAAATGGGAACGCATAGAACATATTTTAAATAAATAACTTGGCTTTATCAAATCACGAATTCGTCACGTGCTCCGCGTGTGCTGTGTTGATTGTTTATCAATGTCACGATCCGGTAAACTTCGGCAACACACTTGCAAGTTAATAAGCTTGCAATCAACGATCACTGAATGAAATTTTATTATCAATAATACGATATGGATTCGTAATAAATATTAATAAAACGTGCATACAGGACCTAGTTTAGGATAGATGGAGCATTGGTTTAACAATTCCGGTAACATTGAATTTAGAAGAAACTCGATTAATATGACTTTCACAGATGCAATGGAGATACATATTTTTGGATGCTAAAATACATGAAACAACAAAGACAAATGGACGCAATTTTTATTTGGGTTTTTTCTTTGTTAGTAATTTGATTTTAACATTTTTATTCATTTAAGGTTTATTAAAAACAGTTGTATGTAAATCATAATGGGCGAATAATACCTTTGGAAACTCGCTGAAATCGGTATATCAGTTTTTATAACATGTGTTTCAGGAATAACTACGGGTAAACTTGAAAACTAAAGTTTAGAAGCAAAACTTAAAGAACCTAAATTAAACAGCAAATGTAGTCGAAATTGGTTTTGTCTTCTGTTCTAATTTCCGTGCTGCTAATTAGTATATTGTCGCCAATAATTATAAGCTTGATATCTTTGATGGCCTTTAGTAAGTTGTAAACCAGTGTCCTCATTAGTTTAAATGGTTTGAGAAAGATTTTGGTACTTTTCTAAATATATAAACACGTTGAACGTAAGCATAACCAACAAGCCAAGGTAAGACACCGTTGTAATTGTAATCATGAGTCATGTGTTTTGGATTGAAAAAGCAGGCTGTATGAATTTCAGTTAATTTTCAAATTGTAACATTAACGGTATCAAGCTTACATCACCAGATGCGAATTTCGAAAATTAATGTTGCTTCAGTGCATGATCGAAATTAATAGCAAATTTAAATAAACAAAATAATCCAACAGAAGAGGTATTTATATTTCACGCAATTCGTCAAATGAAATTCATGATATTCTAGCGCTTAAAAGTACAGATATCTTGCTGTGCATATCCTATTTTGTGCATTTTATTCCACAATTATTTGAAAAATAAATTCAGCAAAATAAAAACATAGAGATTTAACTCCAAGAGAATAACAGTTTCATAAACTTTAATATTTTTCTCATTTGTATTTCAATAAAACAATGAAATAATATTGTCTTGTTTGCTACAGTGACGTAATACAAATGTAACGATATATTAAAAAAAATTAAATAGTACACCTTTGAAATTGAAATTTGATTATTTTATGTAGAAAACTATTCACATTTATGTAAACCGGATTTATGGTAAGAGGGAATTGAAAAAATATTTGTATCGATTGGTTCATCTATTCAAAGCGGTCTGGTGACCTAGATATTTTCTGCAAGTTACTTTTTTTTCAATCAAGGTCTCATTGACGTCGTGTTTAACATGTTTCTTATCAAATTCAACGTAAGGAGTTGTTTATTTGTTTATTCTGTAACATATTTTTGTCAGAAAAGATGTAGCATTAAGAATTCATTCTGTTAATATTGAAAATATTCCGTTTATAATTTAAGTTAATTCCTTCTTCTGAACTTTATGGTATTAAGCATCAGCAGTTTTGAAAACTTTATAAAATTTTGACTAAAGCGATAAAGTGTTTGATTTGGTATGTTCATTGTATTTTCTATTGTTCAAGATATAATAACTCAAAAAACGCTGGAGTAAATACATCTAGATTTATTCTACAATAAGGCATACCATTGACTTCTTGCATCAGTGTCAGTTCTTGAAGCATATCAGTAATATTTATATCAGAGCTGCGAATTGTTTGGTACAATTGTAAACAAGTATCTTGACAAAGATATTCATCCACTCTCTTAAGCACCTGTTGTGTTCTGTTTTGAAATTCTTCGTAATAAAGCTCTGATATTTCCTCCGACTTCCTACTGATAACGTCATTTGTTGCATTAAGTATTCTCTGGACATCATCGCCGATTTCCACTTCTGTATCGTGTGGAACATTCCCCCACTTACACGATGGTTCATGCAATAAATTTTCAAATCGCAATATTTTAAAGCACAATTCGATTGTGAAGTTATCCAAATTTGGAAGTTTGTCCATCAAGGTTATTTCAATTTCTGTGAAATCGGTAGGTATATTATTCAGTTGATATTTCACTTGTAATCCTCTTGGACTTATACATTCTTTTAATATTTTTTGCATTACTTTCGGGAATAGTTTCCTGGCAATACTGCCTATTCTTGCAAGTCTTCTGTTAGATTCTGCAGACATATTTATAGTTGCTGTGTTCGAACAATATACTGCAATAGTTATTTGAAAGAATTAAAGGCATGTACTTTACACCTTCAGAGACAATGAATACATGGTTAATTTGGTATTTGAAATAATACAATTAATATTAAAATAATAATAAACCATACGTTTTTCAATTGACATTTATTCCAAAAAACAAAAAAACAAAAAACATGTGTCGAAAATGACATAATTTATACTTGTTTCTACTGTTTCCAATTTTTATCAACAACCTTTTCCCTCTACAATATGCTATGACCTGTATATAATTTTATACAATATCACAGTGACAAACGATATAGTGTAAGTTTGTACATATAAAAACAAATAATGAAAGATCTGAATATAAAACTATTTCGGTAGTGTTTCCAGACTTTTCTTGTGTGCTGAACATGGATTCAAAAATCATATTAATCAGACAAATAGCAAAAAAGTATAAACACTTAACATCAATGAACACGTTTTCTTTGTTTGTTACAATTGTAGACTTTATCTCGAATTTGACATAAGCGGTCACCTCAGTACCATAATCTATGACAAACGAGACGGGTTTAATTTTAAATTATCTGCCATTTTGTTATTCTTTGTTGGAATATTTGTTTGATTTTATAGTGATTAAAATTAAGATTATAACACAATGATATCTGAATTACCCCTATTTCTGACATTTTTACCTTTATGTCTGCTTCTTTTGTTCACACATTGTTGTCCATTATTGGTGTTGCTCGGTACTTATACATTCCGTCATTGTGTTATTGTGCTATGGTCATTTTTTGTTTTCTTGTCTTTCATTTTTCCAAATGTGCTTTGTTTATATGCCACTTCGTTTTTCTTTTTGTCATATTTGTTTGATTTCATTTCTTAAAGATTGCATTTATATAGTATTTAAGTTTCTAAATAAATATTGGTATAGATATTTGTCACATTTACTGATGATCATGCATAACAGCAGTGGAAGACCTAATCTGAAGTGGTTAAGACATAGATTTATAAAACATTGAAGTATGGGAGAGACAAGTTTGTTTGAAGCCGTCTTTAACTCTAGCACATTTAGAGGAACAGTGATTATGTTTAAACTACTGAATTGTGTTGCTTCAAGCATGACAAATAAACAATCTCGGCATTTAAATCATAAACATACGTGTCATTGTTCTAATCTTACACCCCCCAAGGGTGACTGGGGAATAGAAGTATGGTCACCATTGGTCTTCCTCCGACCGGCAGTAAAACCCGTGCTAAAGTGGGGCGTCCGTTTGGCTGTGCGGGATGTACAGATTTGCAGCCACGTCCGGTCAGAATGGGGACGTTACATCCGATGCCTCGTGTAAAAGAGAGTGCCACGCTCTTTGCACGTTAAGAACCCTTGCAACAACTCTTCGAGGGGTCCGTAGGTGACCTGTTACAAGGCTAAATTTCTGTCCCTATCCAAAATACCCTCATTTCCCGTGGCAGTCTAAATTTCTCCGACCTTAATCCCTTAATCTATTACAGAACCTACCTATTGTATTTATTGTGAACTTGTTCTCGTCCTGAATATGCATGAAATATTTGCCACTGGACGTTAAGCAACCAACAATCAATCAATCAATCAATCTAATCTTACAAACTTAATAAAGTATCATATTGATACTGGTAACAAACGTCAATATAAAACTTCTGAACCATAAACATTGAGATAGTTTAAATGTTAGTATTTTCCACCAAGTTGTTTACAGTTGAAATTACCTAGAGTATTTATTCTAATGTTCTGCATGACAATAAACATTTGTTTCATCATTATAATTCTGAAAAAATAAAATTAATTTATTTTGATTCAAACTTGATTTTTAAAATCTGCATTAGACCTTTCTGGCTACAAGATACTGTCTTTCTTGTAGTATTTAAACAGATTTAAGTAGATTCACAGACGTGTACTCCTTTAGAAAATTCAAAAGATAGTGGGAATTTCATCCCAGATCTAAAACTTTTTATATTTCGTCGATTTATTATCAAGTTTAGAATATCAAAAAAGGGAGTTCCACTTACTATTGTGTAATTACACGAATGAAGAAGGAAGTTCTAATTGATGAAGAGCTGAGTCACTTGAAACATTTTAAAAAGTACAATTATATTATTCAAAACAATTTGTAAAAGAGTGAACGTATACGATGAAACAAATTGTCACGTTCGTTTGAAATAAGATATATAAAATGTGAAATATTTTAAATTTATTTGAAATAAACTTACCGGCTGATAAATTCTTCTTTTTATTATGTTAATTGAGAAGTCCAGCAACATACACAGCTAAATTAGTCTGTTCCTTCGCCATATTGAGTGTTTAAAGGCCACGTAAGTCATACGTAAAACATAGGGTCACGTGAAAAGGCACCTGTAATGAAAGCCTTTAAAAGTTGTAACCTTGAGAAAACAATATACATCATGCAAATGAAAATTGCAATTTTAACATTTTGGGTTTAAAGAGAAGGTATTGTATTGGGCCTAAAATCAAAAATATTTCATTCAAATTATCTTTGGTTTTCAGAATTAAATGTCGAATGAATGTATAACACAGTATTGTTTTTTTTTTAATTTGTAACCTTTTTAAGAGAGTAAAATCTGTAAATGACGGATAAATGTACACTGGACCATATATAATGTAACAGAAATTATAGTTTGTGTTATTGTTGTGACGGAGGGAGAATGGTTAGTTTTTCATGAATCAACGCATATATATATTTATATATATATATATTTATACAAGAGACATCTTAATTTCAACCAAGAAGTTTCATCGATGTGTTGTTTTCAGTCTCACACAAACTATTTCAAGGAAGTCATATAGTTTTCCCTTTTTTCAAACGCACCCAGATTAATGTCATCAGCATTATAATGCATAGCAATATCAAGATTCCCTTATGTTTCTAGAAGATGCATATTTAATATACATCTGCCGTAGGTGACCTGTTGCAATGCTAAATGTCTGCCCCTATCCTATATATCCTCATTTCCCGTGGCAGTCTAAATTTCTCCGACCTTAATCCCGGAAGCCCCTATTACAGAACCTACCTATTGTATTTATTGTTAATTTGTTCTCGTCCTGAATATGCATGAAATATTTGCCACTGGACGTTAAGCAACCAACAATCAATCAATCATTTAATATACATCTGTAATTCTATTCATTTGATCCTCGTTTTCTTACGTTTTCATTCTATTTTTTGTAACTTCCTTTTCTTACATTTTCTCTTATTTTTTGTTTTTTCCATACATTCTTAATAGAGAATTTGTTTATGTTTACCTATAAGACGTTTATAATTCATATACTCGTTGCTTACATGAGAGTCACATTCTGCTGCGTTAATAATTGAATTAAATAAATAAATTGAAATATCCAAGTTAAAATCTTATTTGGAATGACCTTGTAAAACACACTTATATAGAAAACTACTGAGCAATTTACGTTGAAATTTAAGGTATAAAAGATTTAAATATCCCAAGGTGCTTATTTACCACCACAATGTATATGAGTGTCATTTGTCATTTATATATGGATCTTTAAATTTTGAAATTTGTACAATAAAGTAAATATATTTCTGACTGTGATTTACAAAATATTATATAATTAATTCAATTTTTCTAGTGTTAAGTTTGCATTTGGGGGGAATCGTGAACGCAATCAATACAAATTTCAAACATGTGATTATCAGTAAAAAAAACAAAGGATAAAGTAAGAAAAAATGATACAAGCATGCTATGCCAAATCTCTGTTTATTTGGTAGATGGTACCGAAAGGAGGAGGGGTGTACAAGGTGCTTTTAGAATAAAATATTGAAAAAGAAACCTACAAAGATGTATCATTTAATCGTTTTAGATATTTAACATAATTTTAAAAAGTTAAAATTAAGAAATGATTATTTGAAGAAAAATTGAAAGCCTAGTATCTACGATGAGTGTATTGTTTAAGATAGTCTATCTAGTGTTTCTTATTTCGGCATGTATTCCTTTAATTTGGTAATAAACAAAATCGAATGTGTCAAGAATATATACACTAACAAAACACGTTAAAGGTATAAATATGTTATATTCCATCAAGTTGTTTACGCATGTTACATATCCAATTATCTAGGATAACGTTTTAAATGTTCTGCATAGCAAGAAACATATGTTGGCCATGATTTTTAAATGATAAATTTGGATCGTTATTTTTATTTTGTGTCATACTTGCCTCATTTAAGTCTGCAAAAGAATATAACTAGCTTTATAGTTATGTTTTCTTCATACTTTATTTCTGTATACATTCGTTTCCTGTGACCTTAGAGAGAAAATATGAGGGGCGCTGCTTTAATTTCACAGCATTTTTTTCATCTTTCTTTTCCTTATTACATATCCCAAAAAGGTTCGTGCAATAACTATTAAGAATAGTAAGACACTATTGTCAATAAACTAAGAATAAAGTTAAAATGATCTTTTAAGACTAGAAGCGGTAAACATTTAAATGAAATTGAAAATGAAAACGAGCAAATGTCGAGAGAAACAACAACCCGACCAAAGAGCAGAAAACAGCCCAACGCCACACCTGGGTCTTTAACACAGCTGGTTTCAGCTGGCTCCTAAACAAAAATGTTTACTAGTTCAGCGAAAATGGACGTCACACTTAACTCCGAAACATATAAATGTATCAAAATTTAAAAAAAAACAACATACAAGACTTACAAAGGCCAGATGTTCCTGACTTGGGACAGGTGCACAAATGCAGTGGGGTTAAACATGTTTTTGAGATCTCAACTCTCCCCTTATACCTCTAGCCAATTTAGAATAAACTAACACACATCAATACGCACAGTAAAACTCAATTTAAAATAAGTCTGAGTCCTATGTTAGAATAGGAAACAGAAAAAACTAAGCAAAATGACAATGGTCAACATGTTAAATTAACAAAGGACTACTATCAGTTACTGACATGCCAGCTCCAGACCTCAATTAAACTGATTGAAAAATCATGTCTTCATCATATGACAATCAAGCATAATCTCTTTCGTTAAGGGTTTAGTATCATATCATCATAAAATTTTACGAGAAGAACATAAACTGTATCATGAAAGGATAGTTATACATGTTATACTTTAACAATTGAAAAACAACGTTAAGGTTTAGAGAGTAGACGTACACTAAAAAAGGGAAAACTGGATATTATCGTTGCAAAAAAAGAAACTAACCGTCTGTTAACTCAGAGACAAACAGACAACATTGTGAAATATTTTTTAATTATTTAAAAAAAAACTCACTGTCTGAAGTATTCTTCCGTTTTGGTGTCGTTCACCTTTATTTGATCAGTGAATATAAACCTGTAAAAAATAAAACTAACTACTTGTGATTGGTTGCTCAATGGTGTGGCTAACATTCCTTTGGCTTGAATTAGTTATAAAAATACATATTTCTCTATTTTCGCTATTTTGAATTTATAAAGGCCAAACTACTTCAACTGTAGAAATTAAAATCACATGATCGATAAAGAGAATGTTGGTAATGTCACCAACTAGTTAAATTCTTCAGACCAGTTTTTAATCTGTTACTCAATACCCATATTAATTACCAATTTTAGACTTAAATTGTATCTATTTGTTTGAAGTGTGTTATAAAGTATACAAAAGAAGAAAGGAGTTTTTTTTTAACCGTAAACTAAAACGAACCTAACATATAAAAGATCATTAGAAATTAATCTTGTCTATTTAAATTGAAATTTACATATATCAATCCATCTATATAATGGAGAAGATATCAATATACATGCACCTGAAGGTATGGTATAAAATGTTCAAGTGAAAAAATGCAGTTTACAAAACGTAACATGGAAATCGAATTATTACTCAACAACAATTAGCTGCGATTGGTTGCTCAATTGTGTGGCTAAGATTCCTTTGGCTTGAATTAGTTTTACTATATGGAAGACGTCAAGAAAGGGGAGAAGAAATTATATACACGATATGCATTTGAGACTCGAAGAATATGATCAGTATTGCTTGATTAGCGTTGATAGTCAAAATCATTTCATTGATTATTATACATTCCCTTTGCATAATCTTCATTACACGATTAGTTTTTTTTCTACTAATTACTTAAGTATGATGTGTATATCATATCACCGGTTATTGATAATATACAAAATGAAATATGATAGCTCTGTTCACTGTTGCTTTACTTGAAGCTGACCAAACATTTATTTGTTAAACAAAGAAAGTACATTTAGCGTAGTTTATACAAAACGAATACAAAAAAAAATGTGTATACCCTAGGTTACCGTCATAAGCTCTTAAGAGATACAATTTATAGATTGATTTCCAGTGTCATATGTTTCATGCATCTTCAGAACGAGACCAAATTTACAATCAATGCAATAAGTATTTCATACAATAGAAATCAGTAGCTGGGTGGGAAATACTGTAAAAAGGGAAGTCGAGCGGTTATTTGTATTATCAATTATAACAGCAGTGAACAAATTTTCGAAAACCAAAATCAGGCGTCGTTTAGACATGAACTAATAAAACATTGAAGCATATTTCAGACAATCGTATTTAAATATTAAAAAAAAAGAAGATGCTGTATGGTTGGCAAGGAGACATTCCTCCACCAGAGACCAAATCGTATTTGAAGCAGATGTAACTGCACCAGATTATGAAAAACCTTTTTTTTTTTTTTAATTCAGACAAAAGGTCTTTTAATTTACTTCAACTTTAGTTCAAAACAAAATCATGCATGTACATATAAAATTAAGAAATAAGATAAAGTATTAAATCTTTAAAATCACATTACATTTATTGAATATATTAAAGTTTGGAATATACTCCAATTTCTTTTAAAAATGGATCGTAAAGGGTTTTTAGAATTTACAGGTTTTTTAATTTAATATTTTGTATTGCGTGAATCATGATAGCGAATCATAACATATGATAAACGTTGATTTCTCAGAAGTTGCAAGGACAGAATTATTGCCTTACATTCTGCAGAAAAGATAGATGCAGCAGGAGGTCATTTTAGACTGACTTAAGAACATAAACGATCAAATCCATTTATCAAGATTGACTGCACATGTTTAGTGAAATCGTGTGATTGTCTTTAGTTTATGGTAACATTTTTAAGATATTAAAAGAAGCTTTTTAAGATATATAAAACGTAGAATGACAATGTTTATTAACTTAATATGCTTAACTGAAACTGCTTCATACAGAGTTAAATAACACGAAGATGATGAAATGATTTCTTCATGTTGTTCATTATAAGAAATTCACTTGAAAGTACAGAGTACCAATAATGCAATATTATCACATATTCGTCATTGTAGTATAATTTTATTTGATATAAATTCCATTTTAGCGCAACGGATTTCGCATTTAAATTTGAAAAATTGTATTTTATGATACGTGTGGACGAACTCAAATATTTATAGTTTATTATATATTTTTGTCCCGTATATTGTTACATATTTAACATATCTTGTTGTAATTTAAATCAAAATAAGATCACGATACCTGATATTTTTCAATAGAAAACTGACAGACCATGCACGTGATATTTGAACTAAAGTTTGAAGTCTGGTATTTAACATTGACCTAAATTAAAATTGTAAAAATGTATTTTAATAATTCGATTTTAGACACTGAATGTAAAACTTATAAAGTTGATTTAAGAATCGTCCAGATCTTAAAGTTTATGTGTTTTTATTTGTTTTTTTTTAATTGACGAAAACTTCCGAATAAAAGCACACGGAACAACTATGTTCTTTATCAATAATATCAACAATAGAGTAATGACTTAACATATTGAAAACAGATCATGTTCTAGTTTGTGTTAATAAATGATTTCTGTTTGAAAAGGTGTTTATAACTATCCCGCAGACACCCGATGTTGTACAGACGTGGATATTTGGTTGAAATAGGTCGCAACGTCGGCGACCTAAATTGAAAGTCGGTTCAACATTGTTTGACAAACGTCTATCAGACGTTATAGAACAACATCTGTATAACCTTTTTTTGTTGGTCGCAACATTATACAACGTAATAAACACAACGTCGGATGCCATATGTTGGTGGGACGTCTAAATTAATCGTAAATATTGAAATCATACGTTCACGAACATCAAGTCTTAAATTATATATTATCCTTTCACATAACTATACGTATTCTATTTCGTTATCTAAAAATGAACTATAAAATAAAGTGTAGTATAGATAAACAACATCTTATTCTAGTGTTTATTGCAAACCCCGATTACCACCACACGCCTCTTTTCCCAAGGAACTTTTCCGCCCCTTTAGTTGACGCAAGAATCAATACACTGTTTAAATGATTTGATTGATCATATTTAATGTTCGTTTTGTAAGTTTTGATGTTCTAACAATTTGTTTCTAAATAAGGTCAGTTCACAGGTCATCATACAATGGACACTTTTACAATAAAATTGAGAATGGAAATGGGGAATGTGTCAAAGAGACAACAACCCGACCATAGAACAGACAACAGCAGAAGGTCACCAACAGGTCTTCAATGCAGCGAGAAATTCCCGCACCCGGAGGCGTCCTTCAGCTGATAATAATGTAATACATTTTTTCTCAGTTTTATCAAAATTTCTGCAAGTTTCACAAGTTTGTTGATGCAAGGGAAGTCTCCTTCTAATGATATAGTCCCAGATAACTTGAATTTTTTTAGATAGAAGTCAATCAAAGAACAGAGTAATGAATTTATATATTCTCAAACTAATCAGCATATTTTACCAAAATTTCATTGCATGCCGACTAAAAACATAAAAATGTCCCACAGAAAAAATGTTTACAATAATGTTTCGAGTATAATAAAAAAAAAGGGGGGGGAAGACGCTGCTAATATAACTGATATGCAACAATATACTAAAGGAAAGTTTAAACAACGGATTTGAACTGGACAATTTTATCTGAAATTAACACCAGGTGACCAAATACAGGTTGAAATTTGTGGACTCCACGCGGATATCTTTAGAAAACATGCTTATCAATCAATCAATCATGTATTATTCAATGAGTAACATTATAGTACAATTGCCTTTGGTTGAAGATTAAAGAAAAAAAGGAACAAGATGTTTATTCTTTCAAACTTTTACTAAAACGAAAGACATTTTTTCTCGTTTTGACAATCCTTTCAAACCATTACTCTGCGTGTCTATCAGCTTTATTACACAAAACCGACTATTGTATCATATTTGTATTACGAACAGAAGTCAATGGAAAACAACTGAGCCAGTAAATTGATTTAATTTAAATGTATACAGATATCATATTCCACCAGGTTGTTTACGCATGCTATATTGAAATTATCTAGGGTAATTTTAAAAAGATCTTCATAACAATAAACAATGTTTTATATCAATGATTTTAGACATATTTTAATTTCGGGTCATACTTGCCTCATAAAGCCTGTAAAAGAACATTACTGGTTTTCTGGTTCTTGCTTTCTAAACATCTTATTTCTGTGAATTGTTTGATATTCACAGACCTGTACTATACCAAAAAAGAATGTTTATGGAATTGTTATCCCTATCTGAACAGTGAAGGTGTATTACCTTAAGTTCATAATCATCAATGTGAGAGGTCCGTGCACTGACGATTTGTATTAATACAAAAAAAAAAAGAATTTTAAGTTTTAAAAACCAATTCTGGCGGAAAGCGGAAACCTAAATTCATTATCAATTTCTTAACGTTTTAAAGGGTATATCTTCTCCATCAATTCAGAAACAACTGATGATCCAAAGACGATTTATGACTTTTGAACAGCGGTATACTACTGTTGTCTTTATAAGGTTTGTTAGAGTTTACGTGCACGATAAAAAGGAAAACTTGGTATCATCGGTGCATCATAAGAAACCAACTGTCCATTTTACCGTAAACAATTTGACAAAAACATAAAATATTTAAAATGTAATTGAAAAAAAACTTTCTGTCTGATGTATTTTTCCTTTGGTATGAATTTAATATTTTAGACAAAAATACCTACATAATTATTTTGCTTCACCATTTTGATTTGTTAAGGCCAAAATGGTAATTAAAGTCATCCGTTAAACATAAAATCATAAGGTTAATAAAAAAAAAAGTCGTTTCATATTTTCTTTTCATTTAGGTTTCTCCTATAAGATAATGTGTTAATGTATTATGTTTTAATCTATAAGGTTAATATACTAGTTGCTTACATGAGAGTTCTTTGAAACAAACCACTATACAAGCAAGTATAGGTATCAGTATCTATCGAATTTGTTTTAGAATATACATTGAGGTTTGTTCCATTTTGAGAAAAATTAAGAAAATGTCGAGATAAAAACTAA